AGACTTATCACTTTTTAATTATGTCAGACTACCCGAATTTGCCCCCCATATCTCGTAGTCCAGGTCAACCTCCACCTTGACATAGTCGAGCATTGAATCTAGCAATTCCCATCGAAGCCTCGAGGGTGCATCGGCGATGTTACTTGGGGATGGCACCCTGGTGTACCAGTTTAGGCTGTTGTTGCTAGCGTCCTGCAGCATTGCCTCGATCAACATCTTTCTACAAGCCTCAGACTTGGTTACTCCAGCCACTAATGCCTCCTTGACACCCTCGTTGTCAATGAAGTACAACACTCTCGCACCTCTGAGGAGTTGAGGGAAATGCCTCTTGATAATCACTATGGGCAACATTTCGGCTTGAGCAATCACATGCTCGTGACCCAACCCTTGCCATTCATCAACGATCTTTGGGGGAATGTTGAACCCGAAGGCCAGTGGTAATTCTGTTCGCGGAGACAGGACCACTGCCCCGCAAGAGGCAGTGCCCCCTTCATATGCACCATCCGTGAAGATCAGGCACGGCATCTCATTGTTCACCGCCTCCAGTCGTCTCGGGGGAGCAGTCCTCAACAGATCGGCCGACAACCTGAGTGCTTTGCGAATCTCACTTGTCACCCCTTTAACACTTCTACTCATCAGTGCCCTCTGCTTCACGGGGCCCATGAGGGGTGCCAACCATCTCCCACTGCACTGTGCCTCAGCAAAGTTCAACCTGCCGTACACCTTAGCTGCCGTGGCGGCCGGGAAGGACTGGACTGCCTCCATCTCTTCTATTGTGGCTTCCAGTTCTTGCACTCTATCCTCTTTGTTACGTACTATCACCACTCCGTCATTGGACTGACTCAAGTCTACCACCACACCCAAGACTACAAACCTCCTAGCCGGTGGGATCCTCTTCTTGGCTTCCTCTGCAATGCCCCAGCCCAAAGTGCGCATGGCCTCTTCCATGACCACCTGAGTCCTCACTACCATCTGCCCTAGGTCAACATGCGGGAAGTCGTCGAAGTAGTTGATCACTGGGATCAAAAAGAACCTCTGTAGCACCTCTCTCAGTGCCCTGGCCGCCCGATTGAAAGCCATCACGGACCCCGTCGCGCCAAACGGGAGAACATAGGAAATAAAGTACTTCACTTCATTGCTCTGGGGGTCTAGGACTGCGATGACCGCACAATTCCGGTCGGTCGGGGACAGGGGCAGTTGCTTGTATGCAGCCTTGAGGTCAAAGCACCTACCACTCAGTTGCAACTCCTTGCCTCTGAACTCCTCCCCTTTCCGCCCCTCCAGCACCAGTCCCGTGGACAACTCGGCCCTGACTTGGTCACTCACACCCCCAAAGGTCCTCATCCATGCAGCCGCCAACGAGACTACCTCGTCGACCCCACCAAGGTCCAACTTCTCACCTGGGCCATAGCACTGATTGACCGCGAATTCGCTGAGGTCGTCTATGTTCCTCACCTTTGCTCCCTGAACTATGCCGAACCTTCTACTCGGCGTCCACAATGGCCCAACTTCTTCGGTCACTTGGCCTGCAGTGAAGGGTCCTGACAACCATCCCCTCTCCGCCTCCTTCAGGGTCGCCTCCCACACCTCATGCGCAACACTGACATGGCTCCCAGCAACACTCGCCTGTCTGCCCTGCATATGTCTCGGGACTCTGGTGGACACCTCTTGCTGGGCCGACTTTGCTGCTCGCCACAGGTCTTCCCTGTCGAGCATTGGTGGCTTGCATTCAGGTGCAAAACAGCCTGTGACTCTGCCTTCACCTGTGATCCTCATGCCGTGACACATGTCCTCTACCAGGTGGGTATCCCCATAACCGACTGTCTGGATGAGCTCGGCTAGCACAAGGAGTTTCTTGGGTGCCAAAACTTCGGCAACTTTAGTCTCCATGTTGGCGTGTAGCTCATGCTCTTGTGTTTCAAGTTCTTGCACTCTCTGCTTCAACCACCTCAACCTACGAACTCTCTCTTCATGTATTTCTTGGGTGCCTTTGGTCAACACTTGAAACATGCTGTCGACGACGTGGTCTGGCGTCTGAAATGCTGTGTCAAACGGGTGTTGCAACTGCTGGGCTCTCCGGACTGCCTCCATCGGTGTCATGGGAATGCCGAAAATTACTGACCTGCTTGCCCCGTCCCCGTGGTCTTCCCCCTCATTGGACGGTAAATGGCGAACAAGTCTGGTGCCTTCTGGGAAAACTAGGTCGGCGAGGGCGACCGTGGTTTTGGATCGGCCACTCCAGGCCAAAACTTTGGCTACATCACGGGGTTTGTCCACGATGATGTCCACCACTTGTCCATCCTCCGGCAACATTGGCTGGGCACGTCGCCCCTTAGGCTGCTTGCCGGCTGCCACCCTCCAGGTGGTGGATGCCTGGTGGGCAAGCGGGGTGGACCGAGGCTCAGGGTGGACTGGGAGTTGTCGTTCACATGCCCTCCTACTGATGATGGCTGCAATGCGTTGGCATAACAACAACGGGTATTCTGCTTCACTAGCTGTGTCGTACTGCCACTTTCCATTAAGTGTCTTGCTGACGGACCACCCTTTGTGCGTGTGACGTTTGTCGCACATCACGCCCAACTGACACAGTTGCTCGCAATTGTGGAGGAGTGAGGTCTTCTTGTCTCTCTCCCCTCCGTGCATGCACACTTGGAATGTGGTAAAGTGCACACCTGCAAGCTGGAACAACTCCGCAATGCATGGGACCATCCACATGTAACTATTGGTTGGGTTCTCGATGAACACGTAAACTCCCTTAGAGTGACCATACTTGAAGACTCGCGCGGCTGTGGCATAGCGTGCGTTTGCCAACTCCACCCTGGTCAGGTCCGTTCCGTGTAGGTCAGGAAGCCCACTGGGGTACTGCGCGCTCCTCAGTGGTGGTGGCGATGGCACTCCTTGCCGTCGGAGCCAGGCGGGTATTGGTTTGTCTCTCGCACGTGACGCCGTACCACACGGCGGTGCCATAGGTATGAAGAATACATCTCCTTCATTCACCTTAGCCTCAATAAAGTCTGCACTAGTGCTACGTGACAAGTCTAAAACTATACAAGGTCCAACTCTGTTCTTGCATTTCTTATGGTCTACGCCTACGGCTGCAAAACCATGAGCTTTCAAACACTTACTTAACTTGCACGACCCGGCAAACAACTCAAACGTGCGGGGCACAACGCCCGTTGCGTTTTCACTCAGCCTGCCGGGATTGCTCCCGGGTTCTTGAAAAGTTTCTGTACATGGGGCGGAGCCCTCTTCAGCTCTCCTGATGGGCTCTGATTCCTGTGCTCGCGCCGGCGCGTCGCACGCCACTGCCGGCCTCTCACCTGCTTTTGCAGGTCACTGGGTGCACTGCATGGCGCCATGGCCTTGCTTCCAACACTTCATGCAGGTGTGCAATCCCTTCGAGCACTTTCCGTCTTTGCCGCTGTTGCAGTTGCCCAGCTGGTAGCCATAGCAGATGCGCTCTCCTTGCTTCATCGGGGACAACCCCCAAAGCTCTTTCGGCATCTTGATGGGCATTTTCTTTGGTGCCACTGCCTTGCTCGGCCCTGCATCGGCTGGCGCTGCCTTCGTCTTCTTGGTCTCCGCCTCGCGCAGCCTCTCTTTCAACTTGAGGTTCTCCTTCATCAGCTTCCTCTTTCCTGCCCCCGGCGCTGATGGCTCTGCCGCATGCGGGGCCTCGTCCTTCCCTGCGCTGCTCTTACTGCCCGGCAATGGCAGCAACAAGGTCATGAACGCCGGGTTTGCTATCACCCGGTCGATGGCGGCATCTGCCAAGCGCCTTCCTGTGGCATCTCTGCCGAGGTCTCCTTGGAGCTCTTCTGACATCAGCTTCCATGCCCTACGATCTGCTGCTGCCACCTGCGCCAGCGTCACCGCCATGTACCCCATCGGTGCCTCCCGCTGATACTCCTGGAACATCTTGTCGATCAGGCGCTCATGGGCAGTGAATCTCATGACATCAGCAACCTCCAATGCCAGGCCCCGCCTCGTGTAGGCTTGCCTCAGCCTCAGGTCTGTGCGGGTGTCCGCCTCTGGCAACTTGGTCTCATCATGGGCCCTCAAGTGCCCGGATGCATCCTTCTTGATCAATTCCTCGGTCTTCACGTTCTGCAACTCCTGATCTCTTGTGGGGATCTCGTGTGGAGCCAGGTACTTCAGCTCACCTTCAACTCGCATCGAGTGGAACTTGTCGACGACATGATGCGCTGGCTCCAGCTGGTCTGACAGTTGAAGGTGCCCATACATCGCCTTCAGTTGAGCCCAACG